TTCTTTACCGTGAGAAAATTACATCATTAAGTGAGACATGTGGTTATTTCTCTCTTTTTTTTTTTGGCAAAATTAATTTACAAATTCTTATAGTTTTACGTAATTTTAAATTAGGTTCTTATAATTCATTTTATTTTAATCAAGCTTTTATAGTTTAATTGATTAAATATGTTAGTTCCTGATCATTAAAATCCTTTAATTTTCTATTTTTTAAAATAAAATTAATGAATTTTATATCTTTATTAATAGATTATATAATTTTAGAATTAATTTCTCAATTTTTATATTTTAAAATTTATATAATTAGATTATGTTTTCTAAATAACTTTGATATATACACGTAACATTTTCATTAAAAATTAATAAAAATGTCAATATTGTATTAAATCCAACTTTTTTGAGTAAAAGTATTAAATTAATTTTTTAATAAATTTTTAAAAAATTATTTTAGAAAATTTAATATTTATTAAGAATTTTAACTTTTAGGGACTAACATATTTAAGAGATTAAATTATAAGAGGTTAGTTAAAAAATTACAAAGACTTGGGTTAAAATTGAAAAGAATTAAAAGAACTTATAAATTAATTTTCTTAACTCAAATAACATGTCAGGCGATGGTTTAACAGTTATATTTCGTGCCAATCTCACTTTTATTTTCTTGTATCACAGGGAAAGCATGACATGCCATTAGTATCAGGACACCTAACATGTTTGATTTATAACCCATAGGGCCATGGATCTGTATCCAAGTAGGAGAGCCAGGATCTAATAACTAGGATGGCCGAAATTAATAAACATATATTATAATATACATTTTAAAAGGCTAACCAAAATACAACAAAAATTAAAATCTTGAAGGGGTCACGCCCTTATTGGTCCTCGCTTCCTTCAACCCAATTAATCCAAGCATCCTCTAACTTTTGAGTGTTGCCTCACAAATGACATAAATTAATTAAACTCTAATGGCTCTCCCATGTAAAAATTGCAATCATAAATATGTGTGCCAAGTCAATACACAATGGGGATTCAACATAATTCGCCTTCATTTGTTATTATGGAATCTACTGATTTGTTAGGACAGATTTCACATCTTGAGTCATAATCTATTTGAACTTTTGATTAAACTTTATTTAAATTTTCAGTGGGACAATATTTGATGAAGGAAGTATCTCGATACAATAATATGAATTAAAAGTCAAATTCAACCAACTGAAACCCTAGCTTAACTTGCTGCCACATAGGCGTGACAATGAAGTCATATACTTAATATTTTCTCATCAAAAGAGACTACGGTTTCATTCACGCTAGGATTTGCCCTTCATTTTTTATTTTGAGGAAAACAAGATCTACTTTAAAGTTCTATTTGAAAAATTAAAAGCAAACGATGCTAAAGTTTTATTGGGTTTTACTTTTCATGTTTGTAGGATTTAGATTGTTTATTTTAAAAGCGCTTTAGCAAAAAACAAACAGCTGAATGAACCACAAGAAGAAGAATAAGCCCAAGTATCTATAGATTTATTTGGTGGCCAAGCTTTCTGCTGTTGAACTTCTCAACAAGAATGACAATGCAGGATTGAATCTGTAGAGAGCACTATAACCAAGAACTCATTCTAGAATGTAAATTAGAAAAAATATCATTTAAGGACCATGAGAGCAATTTAATGTTAAACAAGGATTAAAATATTTTTAAATATCATTATAAGATTAAAGGATTGATTTGAAAATAATTTTATATAAAACAAAACTATAATACCCTTGCTCTTTTTTTTAAAAAAAAATTGTCAACTAATGAATAGTTTTATTGTTAAATATGAATAGATATTTATTAATCAATAAATAGTTATTTATTGAAACATAATTTATACTTGTTCCTTCTCAATACTAAGTTCTTTCAAATTTTTAAACTTTTCAATTAGCAAATAACTTCTTGTTAAATGCGAATGAATTGTTAATTAACAAATGACTACTTGTTAAAATATAATTTATAATTGCCCGTTCCCATAACCAAGTTCTTTCCAATTATTAAATTTTTCGATTACAAAATAAATTCTTATTAAATACAAATGAATACTTGTTAATTAATAAATGGTTACTTGTTAAAACATGATATATAATTATCCCTTCCCACAATCAAGCTCTTTTAAAATTTTAAACTTGTCAATTAGCAAATAACTTCTTATTAAATGTAAATGGATACTTGTTAATTAGCAAAAGAATACTTAATTAATAAATGACTACTTGTTAAAATATAATCTACAATTGTTCCTTCCCACAACCAAGTCCTTTCTGATTATTAAATTTGTCAATTGGAGAATAACTTATTGTTAAATGCGAATGAGTATTTGTTAATTAATAAATGGTTAGTTGTTGAAACATGATATATAATTATCCTTTCTCACAATCAAGTTCTTTTAGATTTTTGAATTTATCAATTGGTTGATGGCTTTTTGCTAAATGCAAATGAGTACTTGTTAATTCAAAAATGATTTCTTGTCAATTAAAAAAAATGAAGAAAGGCAGGGTATAATAATTTTTTCCTATCTACAATTATTTTTAAATCAATCTCTTGATCTTGTAGTAATATTTTGCAATTTTTTAGTTATTAAATACCTTCATTGGTACTTGAATAATATTTTTCCTTTATATTATATATGCAAGATCCTTTCATGGATTGACTTGCCATTCCCCTCGTCCAACTAAATCACGCCCTTCCTAATTTTATCTTGGAAGAATTTCAATAGAGGATCATGGATGTGATATTATCACAAATGAGACCCCTTGAAATTTGAAACCTCACTTAGTATAGGAGGACTAAAATAACATCAATTTCAATGATAAAAAAACTCACATATCCTTTTAAACATTAAAAATACCACGGTCAAGTACAGCTCCAAAATTAGTAAGTGCTGCTGCAAAATTAATAAGTAAAATTAAAAAATCAATAAATAATGTGATTTAAACTGAAAGAGTCATGAATTTAATAAATAAAATTAAATGAGTAATAAATCCTATGAGGGATTTAACAAGTAAAAATTATGCAATCATAAATAGTTTAGTTTAGTTGAGACATAACAAATAAAGTTAAATAATTAATAAGTGTTATTGAAAAATTAATGAGTAAAAATTATAAAATTAATAAATAATATAGTTCAATTGAGAAGTTACAAATTTAATAAGTAAAATTAAGTAATTAAAAAGTGGTGCTGAGGAATTAACCAAGTAAAAATCCTGTCCAGCCCATGTAAGTAAAACACTCCATTGCCTACGCCTCTGATTATCTTAAACCTCAAGTCCCAAAGAAAAGGAACAGAGCAAGCCACTCAAGACAAAACGAATCATAAAATTAGGCGAAGTTGAGAAACCAATTAATTTGCAAATAGAGCAGAGCAAAACAGAACTACCGTTGTTTGCTCGAGGATGAAATATCTGCGGGCATTTGAAACTTGATAAAAAAAAATGATTATTAAAGAACTCCGGCAGGGTCTGGGCGTGGGGTTGATGCTGACATGCCGTTGTGGATGGGTCTTGGTGCTGCTTTTGCAGGCGAGGATGATGACGGTGAAGATGTGGGTGACGACGAAGAATGTAACAATGGTGATCCATGGCGGTGGGGGAGGAGGGGAAGAGAAAGTGGATCGGAGCGAGGGAGGAGAGATGAATATGGAAGAAGAGGACGTGCAGGAGGAAGAGGAGGAATGTGGACGTCTCACGAAAAGAGTGCGGGAAAAGTTTGGAGAAGGGCATTTCAATAATTTTGAGTGACAATTTTGTTTCAGACCAAAATTTCTCTACACTATTTTCAGATTTTTTTTTTTAGGTCTTATTTACCCAATCCTATATCGAAATTCTCCATTGAATGTATTTTCATTCCCCGCCGTTGCTAATTAATCTAATGCTTTCTCTAACTCAAATTATAAAATATTTTAAAAAAAATTAGCATTTTAAAATATAAAATATTTTAATAAAAATAAAATTTTATTAATGATGCTTTTTTAATGTTATTTTTTTCATATATTCTCTCTTTTTAATATTCTTTTATCAATGGAGTGCTAAATAAATAGTATTTTTAAAATTTTATATTTTTATCTTTTAAAAGTAAGATTTTAAAATATATTTAATAAATTTTATTATTATATAAAATTTTATCTAAAAATATCTTATAATTTAAAGCTAAAAGAATATTATTTAATACATTAAAATATTATCATATTTAATCAGGGAATCCGGCAGCATGAATATATCCAAACCTGGGGACCAGAAGGGAAAAGAGTAAAAAAAAACAAAAAACAAAAAACAAACAAACCATCTCTCCAACTAGCTATTCTTCCTTGGGTAATATTTATAAGAGAAAATTACTTTGAGATCTTATAAAACATAATTAAATATTATAAGATTCATTGATAATTAAATAAAGGAAAATGATAATTCTTGCTAAGTTGTCAATGGATCTTATGATATTTAAATGCATTGTATAGAATTTACATGTAATTCTCCCTATCTATAAATTATTTGAAGAAAGGATTTTGTAATTATTTTCATACAATACTACATTAATTATTTATTACAAATTTTTCCTCCTCTATTCGTTGTTAGCGTAGAAAAGTGCGAAGCTTTTTTAAATATGTATTCAACACAAGGCAGGCAAGAAACTTTTAAATGATGAGAAAGAATTAATGAATTTTAAAAATTTTATTAATTTCGGTAAAAAATATGGACAATGACTTGTAGTAAATACTAAATAGGATACAAAATCCAGATTAAGATTAATCATTTATAATAGAAATGATCATGCAAGTAAAAAAAAAAGAACAGAAATGACAATATATAAGTTAATGAAAAGTATTACCTGCCCTGGATATCCATAATTTCATTTAATTTTTATAATTAAAAATTACAATTATACCTCTACTAATAAATTTTATTGAATATCATATTTATATTTTGCATATGTATTATTTATCCAAACAAATTAAAAAAAAAGAAATTGATTTTAAACTAAATTACGCAAACCAAATAAAAATTCATATATAATATAAAAACTCTCCCAGGTAACAAGTCACTCTTTTCATGAGTTAACCAAGAGAAGTGCTCATGTGGACTCCTCATTAGTTGCTAGAGTGAAACTACAATCATAAAGACTAAAATTATAATCTTTCGTAAATTAAGAATTGGGTATATGTTACGAAACTTTAGGAGTTACAAATAAATACACAGAAGGTTTCATACATACACATCGTGCGTCGAATTATTATTTGAGCAGATGATGCGACGAAAAAATTTCATCAGAGCTCAGAATTTTCAGACGTTTCAGAGCTCTGATAGGCAGGAGATTCGTAGGCATTTGATTCTTCGGCAGGAGGGGATTCAAAAACACTGGGCTCGTCAGAGCCTTCAAACTTGTCATAAACAGGGGTTTCGTCAAAAAAGGAACTCTTGGGTGCTTCAGAACTTTGATGATCCAAAGTATCTTGAACTTCAGTGCGAACCGATTGAACAAAATTCAACATGAAATGCACTCCATTAACCACATCGTATAACATTAATCCTATTCTACCGCCAACCCAACTGCCCATGTGACTTCCGACAAGATAACCAAATCTTCCAAGCCTTTCCTCCCCAAGAAAACCTCCAGCATAAGTACCGAACAAAGTACCAGTGCCCCTAAGGAAACCCTCCGTCATGGTTCCACCATAGTAAATAGCTTCAAAAAAGTCCCATCCGGAAGAGATGATGGGGCCTATAATTCGCTTGGTCTGGCGTGAAGCCAATTTTGCAGCCTTTGCGCCTTCTTTCTGAGCATATTTAGCTAAATCTTTTGCTGACATTCCTTGCGACGTTCCGTCAACAAGAGCAGACTCAATTGCCTGATTCCTTGCTCTTTCAACATGAGCAGCTCTAATGTTGTAAAAATAAAGCTTCACTCCTTCTTTGACAACACATGCTAAAGTTCCTGAGCCCATATCAAAGCAGTTTAAGAATGTAAACTTTCCGCTTTGGGATGCCACCTCCTCCCCAACCAGCAGCCTGCATTTTTCAGCTGAAAGTGACAACAAGTTATGAGCATAACAGGCACTGATCCTACATGATAGGGTAAATGGAAGGCTTCAGCAATCAAAGCAAAAATATTAAGAGAAGGGGGGGGGGAGAACTGTTGCACTGAAATTTGTTGGGGAGAACAAGAAGCTGTTTTGAAAATGATCACTTAACAAGGAAAATTATGAGACTTTGAAGTCATTCGCACAATTCATGCACGCCACGACATATATATGTTTTTCCAAATAGTCCTATTATATTTTAGGGTACACATCACTAGGCATTCCTGCTCTGCCACCTGTAAACCCTATCCTCCATCCCAGCGGGAGGTTTACTTAGATCTCCAAATTTAGGGTATCACATTGAAAGTTTCTTAGCAAGCAACAAGAGACAGTGCACATACAACCTCTTCCAAAACAGCATTTCTCCATCCTTGGCTTATCGAACATTTTTCAGGGAAACTTGCGTAGTTGAATGCACTTTTCCTGGTTTGTTGCACAGGAGGCTAGAGGTAAAGACAAGTGCCAAGACTGGTGGCATCCTCCAATCTTCACAACACTGCCTTCTTTGGCATGATTTTTACCCATGAAAAATGGTGAATTCCTGTAGTTTGTGAAGACAAAGAAACAAAGCCATTTCTCAGCCAAGTCAAACCTTGCAACTATCCAGTTGCACTCTGTCCTGGAGTTTTCCTGATGCTGTTTTCTTGCATCACTAATCTAACCTTTTCAACCTTATCCCATTTCCCTTCTTCTGCGTAAATATTTGACAATAACACATAATTCCCAGAATTCCAAGGTTCAAGATTGATAAGCTCTTTCACTGCAATTTCTGCAAGTTTCCTTTCACCATAAGTGCGGCAAGCACTTAGCAATGCACCCCACAAGGCAGCTGTAGGCTTCATGGGCATGCTTCTAATCAAGTCATGAGCTTCCCATAACTGTCCACAACGTCCAAGAAGATCTACAACACAGCCATAATGCTCGAGTTTTGGCTGAAGTTGAAATTTTGCAGTCACCGAAGCAAAGAGTTCAAGCCCTCTATCTGCTAAACCTGCATGAGCACAACAGGCCAAAATGCTAGTAAAAGTTGAGTCAGAAGGGGAAACACCCTTCTTCATCATCTCCTGAAACAAGTCAAGCCCCAGTTCACCCTTCCCATTATAAGCCAAACCTGATATCATTGCATTCCAAGAAACAACATTTTTGCGAGGCATTTCATTAAAAATGCTCCACGCAACTTCAAGATTTCCAGACTTGCAATAAAAATCAACAAGTGAATTTCCCACAGCAGGGACATCCCGCTGAAACCCTCTGGAACAGGCATAAGAGTAAATCCACTTCCCAGCATCTAAAGCTCCTAGGCGAGCACATACAGGCAGAACTGTGACCAAGGTTGCATCATCTGGCTTGAAGCCCAGTTCCAACATTTCATGAAAAAGTTCAAGGGCTTCCCTGTCCTTCTTATTTTGTGCTAGGGAGGAAATCATGATATTCCAAGAAACAATACCATGTTCCTTCATCTGTCTAAAAAGCTTAAAACCTATTTCCAAACAGCCTGTCTTACAAAACCCACGAATCATCAAATTCCACACAATTACTTCTGTATCAAACATTGGATCGAACACCTTCCCGGCATCTCCCATTCTCTCGCAAGTTGTATACAATTCCACCAACCCAATACGAATGGAACCATGGCCTTCAAATCCAACTTGAATAAGATGGGCATGAACACACTGGCCGAGTTTGTAATCACAGAGGTTTGAAGTGGACTTAAGCAAAGGCGTAAAAGTATACTCATCAGGCAAAATACTCCAAGCCCTCATAAGGGAGAAAAAGTGGAAGGATTGCTGAAAGGGGGCACATAAAGAAAAGCCTTTGATCATGGAATTGAAGAGGAGAACATTGGGATTGCGGGTTTGGTAAAAGATACGAGTGGCGTAAGACATTTGATCAAGAGCAGTGCAAACAGAGACGAAGTGGGCGAGGATCTGGTTGGAATGATGAAGGGCATGGCGAAGGAAATGGGCATGAATTTGGGTGATTTGGGTGCGAGTATTGTGACCATGAAGGAGACGAAGAACTTTTCGTTCAATCTCCCGGCAGCTCCTGCTCATTCTGTGTCAATGTGATCACTGTGCAAAGGGACCTGCTTTCATTGTTAGAAGGGAAAAGACAGGATTGGCAGGAACAAGCCAACGCCAAATAACTGGTATATGGAAATGTAATATCCAAACGAGGGAAAATTGTATAGAAGGACCACGAGGGAGGGAAATTTAGGAAGAAGGATCAACTAAGCTTATCGCAGATTCCAAAATCAACGATTGAGCTTCAAGAGGTCATCAAGAGATCTCTTCTAAGGGATACATTGAACCAGAAGTCAACCAAAAAAATACAAAGGTTAAGAAGGGCAAAAAGAATTACTGAAAGCGAATTGCGATTGCCCTATACGTTGCAGCAAGCCAAATATAGTACGGTGGCTTATAGTATAAGACATGCGAGCAATAGAGATCCCCAAATTTATGTCATTAATCAGCTACAAAAAGTTCAAGAAAATAGAGCAAGATGAGTTAAAAAAGATACTGTTCAATTAAGCCTAACGCAAGCAACAGAAACGTTGGGATAAAAATTCATCCTACAGTACATGTAGCAGTATATGATAAGGTTCTAAACTTCCTGTGTTTGCAATTTGTGGTTTTCATTCGTGCTAATTGATATTTGGATACTATTAATGCCAAATGCTCGAGAAAGGGAATGCAATTATCACGAAAAATCAAAACATCTAAAACATGGATATATAAATACACAGTGATTCAAAAAGTACCTGTGATGCTAAGAACAATGATGCCAGCGATGAAGAGGAGCAACTGAACCCTCCTCTTCTGGAAATCCATGGCTCTACCAATTAACCCTAGTCCTAGAAATCAAATAAACTATCTCGATGCTATATTCTCCAGTGGATCAAAGAAAAACCGCCAGTTTTAATACTTCAAATAGGGGGAAGAATCTAAAAACGTGTTGGCGATAGACGAGTCAAGACTCGATACGAGGCTCCCGGATTTCCTGACCTCAGCAAGGGGAGGAGAAGGCATTTGCGAGATTCGACCGTGAATGGACCAAACCGGAATGCAGCTTGCTGAGGGGAGATAATAAATTGCAAATCCACTGTGCATCCAGGCCCAATATAATAAGCCCAAATGTTGTACTTGGGATTCACCAGGACTTGGGCTTGCTTCTCCAACACATAAGGATGAAATGCTCTTGTGCACTGTGGATGTAAAAGGACAAATCTGGAAGGACGAGGAAAACCAGGCTATGCACCTTGTGTGCGAACATGCATGCTTAGGTCCGTTTCCCCCCCAAAATTTTGGTCTAAAATACAAGTCCAGTTCAATAATATCTAAAATATTTTACTTTTTCCTTCCCTCTGTTACTTTTATGTAGAAATTAAATAACATGAATAATTGATGGAGTTTTCAACTTTTAACAAAGGTGGTTTTTGGAAGTATTACAATTTTTTTTTTTTTTCACATCTTTGTCTCCTTGGCGTCCACGCAGCAGGCGGGTTTGTGAGCTAGATCCACGTCGTCGAGAGGAGCATGTAGATAATAGATACATGGCTTCGTTTGTGAGAAATTTCCTTACATGGTTTGCCCAAGCTTAAGAAACATTAGGTACTCTTCTAATCTTATTTATAAATTAAAGAGAAGAGATTAATTTTAGTCATATTTATAGAATATTTTTATTATTTTTTTATATTTATATTTACTTTTATGTCCTTATTAAATGTTAGGAGAAATTGTAAAAAAAAAAAAATTGTCTTCATTGAGGATGAAGGTACAAATTTATTAAATTTTAAGATAGAATTAATGTTTCTGACCAAAAAAAAATTGAGTTAATGAGGTTTAGTATTTTATTAGATTCTAATAAAATATGTAAAAAGTAACTTATAAATAAAACTAAAAATAATATTAGTTTGTGATAGAATTACATAAAGAAAGAAGCTATAAGCACCAATTAAATATTAAGTTTAATAACTCTAGATTTGGATTGGATATCTCAATATTTTTTTTAAGGAGAGTTATATACAGGTTCAGGAAAACTAAATGCTTGTAAATATTGGACTTTGACATGTAAATATAAACATTTCATTTATAAATGATCTAAATAAATAATTACTTTTCTTAGTTGAGACTTATTGTAATTATCTTTGTTTTTTATGTTGTTTGAATTTTTAAACATTAAATTTATTTAGATAAAATTTCTTGCACACTTAAAAAAAATCAGAGAGAAGAGGAGACGAAAAGTCAAACTAATAACTTTTAAATATGTTACTCAGATTCCCGTATAAAACAATAATAACAATAATAAATCTCTCTTTCAATATAAAATTTAGATTTCACCACCATCAATCAATGTAATTTTTCCCCGCTTAAATTCAATTTCTTCATCACGCAATCGGTTATTGTCCAAAATTTTAAAATTTTAAAATAATCAAACGAAAAGAAATTCCAAGGGGATGTAGTTCAGATGGTAGAGCGCTCGCTTAGCATGCGAGAGGTACAGGGATCGATACCCCGCATCTCCACATTTTGTTCGCTTTTGCTAATTTCCATTTTAGCTGATGCCTGGCCGAATTTCGTGGTTGACCAAGTACTAGGGTGGAACTCCAAGCGGGTAACCGGCCGCATCGTGTCACCCTTTGCCTGAGATTTCCATCTCAATTTGTATCCGAAGTCCCACCTTTTGCTTACCATAGACACCTGATATCCTTCTAAATTAACCTCTTCTTCGTGGGTTGACCTACTTTCCCAAAAAGCCAAACCCTTTGGCAACCCATTCCTTGACATAAGTTGCATTCTCTCGTATTGTTCCTGCGCACCTTTCTGTTCCCACCCTTCACAATCATGGTATACTCATTCCTGCCAAAATTGATCTTTATCCATAGCTCCCTCAATCTCCATATTAATGTTTTGCTTCTCCTCAGGTTATCATTACTCTAACACCACTTGTCATTCTTTATATGCCATCCATCTTTTGTCTAAAGTTTTCATTTGACACTTGCGTACTTCACTGTTCACCATGAACAGGGGCCGCACAGGATCAACTTCAGGAGCAAAGCTTAGCAAAAGCCTCGTCTTGTTTTGTTAATAACCTCGTGAGTCTATGTGTAATATCTTCCTTTCGTTGGAATCAAGCAGCTTCATGTTAACCTTTTGCTCTCGAAGGCTTGTTTGGTCATTTTGTTTCGTCCATCGACATTGTTTCTTCACTGGTATGTTCTGATCTTGCTTTCCTTTTGGGCTGGCCGTGAACATTTTTCAGATCTATGTTGGATGTGATCAGACGTATAGATTAAATTCATCTGGGAATATTAACGTACCACCTGAGGTGATTTTTTCTGCAGTGGCCCATGCCTTAGAGAAACACAGCTTGTGCTTAATTGCATCGATAACATGCTACCAAATTTCCTGTTCTACAACAAAGCCAATGTGCAACAAATAAGATATGCGCTGATTGCTGGTTGCAACTTTGCCAAAGGAGGAGGTCAGCATACTGTCCTGTTTCTGCGATGATTTCTGTGTCGCGTGCTTTCCGTTATCTATTATTTATTCGCTATCCTAAGTTAAGAGAGACTGTGTTGTGTTCGTGTAGGGAGCTTCAATTTGGGATATTACGTTGGCGGAGAAATAAGCAGTGCTCGCAAGTTACCAATTTGGATTAGATTCTATCTCTTCGTCCTGGTGGCAGTAGCAGTTAATTTCATTTAACGTGACATAATGATTAGCATTGAGAAATGGATAATCGCTTAACCTCTTCGCGCCCTGATTGATTGATGGGTTCCTTGTAACCATAATAGCTTTCGTACTAATGCACTTCATATCGTAAAATCTGAAGAAAAACTTCCATACAAACATTTACATTTTGCAAGTGCATTTACGGTGTCTAGACTGTTCAACAACTCTAATGATTTATAAATGAATAACACAAGGCAATCCAGAAAATAGCTATCAAATTGACTAAACGTATCACATGTAATACCCCCAGTATGTAATCAGATCGACACAGAAAAAAAAAAATACATGAGGATCTTCTGCACAAGGAGATCTAACAATAATGACACACATTAACACCAATTATTAATGGGTTAACCAGCAGGCATGTCTCGAAAAGTTTTTTGAAAGAAGCATCGGGTATTCTTATCTTTTAAAAAGAATAATGTCTTCCCAAAACTTTAAGAAAAGGTGCAATTTTATCCTATTGTCAAGTTGACAGTTCAACTATCATGTTGGCATCCACTTGGCATTCTTTACGGGGGAAAAAAAACACAGCAAGGAAGCCAAGTGAACATCTTCTTCTGCCATTTCTCTTCTTCTTCACCTAGGAATCACAAGTGGACCTTGGCGGTGTAGGTCGATGGGGAGAGGGGGCAAACTCGGCATCTTCGAGTTGCTTTTCATGAGATCTATGACACTGAACTACACAACTCGATGACACGACAAACGAAGAGATAGGCTGGGCTTGACGGACTTGATAGCGGCTTTGGGCGATGGACAAACGGACTTGCGTGGTGAGGAGAGAATTGAATTTGGGGGGAGGGAGTTGCTGGACTACTTGATCTGGATGGTGGGGTTTCAACTGATTATCAAATGGGGTCGAGATTCGATCATCTTAGGGATTGATGAGTAGGTAGTGAGAAGAGAGGAGATCAAGGAAAGGGGACAAAGACGATGGTTGGTTCTTCATCGAAGGTGGTGTTGTACTCAAGAACTCTTCTTCTACTTGAGCCCCCTATGTCAGTGATTGTTCTTCTGAACCTGTCCTCTCTATACCCCAAAGGTAATTTTATTCAATGATTTTGTACACTTTGCATAATCAAGGAAGTGGGTTTTGCTGGGAAAGTCATGATAGAGGCTTGAATTCTGATGATTGAATACGAGACTAGGTTTGAGTTGAATGAGGCTAAACAGCTGCATAGGGATTACGATGGCGAAGGTTTGTGGCGAGGGAGATGAAGCACTCGTGTGGAGGAAGAAGGATAGTCTAAGATTCACATCAGATTCTAAGACATGCCCTCACCATTCTTGTTTTGGAATGTTTAGATTGTGCTAGATACTGAATACCTGATGCCTCTCGTTACTCTATTTTGTTGGATTCCAACTTTCTGTTCTTAATTTTGGGGTCTTTAATTGTCTCTTCAATTTGCTCTTGCTCCTCAATCATGGTTGAACATTGTGAATTCTACAGTCTGCTTCCTCTCCAATTTGCCATTTTCTGCTTTAATTATATTCTGTGAATTCTATGAGGAGATCTTTAGCTTTTCCTTCTGGCTTAGGTGCATCGATTCTTTCAATTTCAGATTCTATAACTTGTGCAAAGGAGGAAGTGGTGCCTTTTGAATATTTTTTTTTTTTAAATACCAGGTGGCAACTACCTAGCAAAGGACGTCAATGTAACAGTCAAACAAACAATTGCACTAACGGCAAGGTAAAATTGTTTCATTTTTTGAAGTTCTAGAATAAAATTACTACAACTAAAAAATAAGAGTATTCAGTGGTTATTTTGGAAAACTTTTAAAGCATTTTTATCTTTTAACCAATTATTAATTTTTTATATATAAGAATGACAAGAATCCAGAGTCCCCTTAAATCCCGTAAAATAAAGAAGCCTCTTCGGCTAATATTTGCATCCAATTTCGACTTTCTTTATGAACATGACAGTCACTTTAACATCCTCAGAAGTTTCTTAACAAGCTACAAGAGACAGTGCTCATGCAACCTCTTCCAAGGAAGCATGTCTCCATTCCTGGCTCATCGAACATATTTAAAGAGCAGCGCAAACGGAGACGAAGTGGGCGAGGATCTGGTTGGAATAATGAAGGGCATGGTGAAGGAATGGGCGTGAATTTGGGTGACTTGGGTGCCAGTATTGCTACAGTGAAAGAGACGAACAAGTTTTCGTTCAATCTCTTAGCAGCCTCTGCTCATTCTGGAAGGGACCTGCCTTCGCTGTGGAAAGGGAAAAGACAGGATTGGCTGTAACAACTAGGCCTAATAACTGGCAAATGGAAATGCCAAATCCAATCGCCGGAAAATACTACAAAACGACCCCGGGGAAGGGAAATTTAGGAATTAGGATCAATTAACCTTTATTTAACAGCGACTGAGCTTTAAGAGGTCTTCAGAAATTTACATGAATTTTGGCCCCAAAAACACATTAGATTACAAATTTTAATGGATTTTCAAGGAGCTTCAAAATTTGATGTTTTCTACTAAATATCTTTCAGTCGTTATAAACAATTTCCCCTCCAAACGCTTGAGCGAAAAGAAACAAACCTCCATACTACAGGCACAACACTATTGGGAGAAGCACGGTTCCTCCAGAACACGTCTCTTCATCGAACAGCTATGTCCTACAGTTGGAAGGCTTTGTAATGTATATTAATTTGAATTGTTTAAATTTAATTTCAATGATTCTTTTAAACTTGCAACTGAAAATAGATAGAGGCAATTCATGAATCCCTTCTGAGGGTAGATTTGAAACGCAAAAATAATAAAGAATCCTATGACCGAAAAACATCCATTCTCTTTTCCTCTGAATCTTGACCCTCGCATGAAAGAAAATCCTCGGATAAAGAATCGAAAAGGCACGCAAATAGTTGGACCCCAACCCTATGCCCATACGCTGATATACCGCGTAACTATATTACAAGGATCCGAAATCTTTGACCGTGTTTTGAGCTTCCTGACCTCGTTCTAGTTAGAAATGTTTAAGGCTCATCCTAGGAAAATAGCAATGACAATCCAGTAACAATTGTTAAGCCCGCCATCCTGATGCGCACACTCCCACTTCCCTCAAGTTGATTTACTCGCTACAGACAAGGCTTTCTATTCTCTTAACAGATCGCAATTGCATGGTTGCTTGGGTATTCAACGATCAATGCAAATGCTTTGAGGAATGATGTTAATTTATCAGGGTACAAGCATTAACATACCATATGCTGTCTCTCACTCCGGGCACACGAGAATAATTGCAAGTGATCAGTAAACTTGGGCAGTTGGGCTTACAATCATGCAGAATTCCTTGCCATGAGGTTTAAATGATCCCGTTGGGATCATCACTTCATCTTTCCAGATAGAGGACTCGAGTGAAAATGCAAGGATCCCCAGCTAAAATAAGAAACGTACAAGATCCAAACGAATCGCAACATTCATAGACTGAGTCCATCAAGCTCCAGCTAAGATAAGCAACCTCTTTTGCTCTTGGTGCATCCTTGTTTTCCTTTCAGCATGTGCTTGGGGTGGGCAACAGATACCAAATCTAGCTTAACATTACAAAATGGTCGTTAAAAATCCATCATGAAGCATATGGCAGCTCATTTCTTGGATGACCGAAAGCCACCGAACCCCATCATAGCTGCAACATCAGGATCTGTTTCAGGCGTTTCTTCAACTTCCTTCTCTTTCTGAATACAAACATGTAAAAAAAAAAAAGTTATGACAAATTAATATAACATGATAACAGGAACCCTTAGTACTGCCAGGGTACATTGGGCATAAGATATAAACGCTTCAATGTCAAGGTGGGGGGCATGATGTTTCTCTCAACCCATCACGTGCGCAGACTCAATAAGAAACGCCACACTGCTGACCTTCTTTTCTTTCTTCCTTTCCCGTCGCTGTCGCTTTCTCTCTTCCTCCTCTTGTTGCTGTTTTAAGATCCGGTCATCCAGGTCTGCATAGTAATCATCAACCAATTATTTATCAAAAAGAATGTTCACAACTAATAAACAAAGAAAATTGCTTAGATAGTACTCCCCTTGTTTTTTATTGCTAGGGAAATTAACACTTTTCACTTCTATTTTTTTATAAGCAAAATTACCCATTTTAATAAGTATTTATTACACATTTCTTAAATCACCCCTCATAATTTATATTAACGAGAAATAATTAATACATACTTATGTGATTAACATAGGGTATTTTAATCTAAATTTTTTATTTTCAGACATAATTATTATAGTTAACCAATTTTCTTAAACTGTGTAATACAGTTTTTTCTCTCATAAATAGAAACAGATGGAGTACTGATTTAATATATATATATATATATATATAAGCCCCTTATCCAAAGCTTTACCTTGCTCAGTGAAGCTTCCAACAGCTTTCCGCTTTTTAAGAACTTCAAATCGTTCCTGAACCTGTTTCATCAGAAAATTCACTAACACTATCCAACACATGCAGATACAACTATAAAAACTGGCACAGATACATACTTATGCTCACACACACACTTGCAATGCAAAATACATCATAAACTATACCTGTGAAAGAGAAGCACGCTCTACTCGCATAGACATTCCCAGAGCTCTTTGATCTTAAGGGACAGAGAAATAATAATCATCAAAATGGTGAAGGCAATAAAATCAAGTACTAATATGTTAAATCAAGGCAAGCATGTTGAGAAGACCACATACGTTTCTTTCCATTAATATGATCCAAATAGTTAGCAGAATCCTTTACCACACACTCACAAACTGAGCAGTAGTATCCGGCCTGCAATAGAGGGGAATAATTCAAAGATCAACCACAACGAAATGTCAGATAAGTTATACCAGAACGCAGGATCAAATAATAAAGATTGAAAAAAGTAGCAAAGTCTGTAAGATGCAATTGTACAAGTTACTTCTTTGTGCATACAAAAAAGAAACAAAATAACTGCCAACGCCTGGGACAAATGGCAGCCAGCAAGCCATTCTCAGTCACCATTCTTCACATATTTCATTATCCACGTAAGTTGTTCATTAGTTGAACTCGAGCATCATTCATATCATCTCCCAAATCTCAAAAGATAGCAGAACTTTGTGTTTCAAGGGAAAGAGCAAGGGCAGTGATGGATTTTTTTTATTCTTAAAATTTTGATGCCCCGTGAGAAGGGAAAAATCAACAAAGGACAAGAAATTGTCTAATTAGAATGTGGCTATGATATTTAGAAATAACTGGAACAAACATGGTATGCAAGTACCTGCTGGCTTAGTGGTGCAACTGGAGTAACAACCTGCAAAAGAGTTTATATTCATATTTTTAGTAAAACTGAATATTGATAAAAGTTCAGCAACGGATAAAAACAAGCATACAACATAGAATGCTAGAACATGTTTATAAACTAAGGTGAAAGTGGGGGAGGGGGTAGTCTATAGATATTTGATATTTCAGCTCAGAGAAGAAAGCCGACCAAAGTGAAAGGATCAAAGTCAAGAAATGCAAAGCTCCTGTAATGCATGCAAACCATGCAGTAAATTAAGTTTACAACAAAAATCCGGTCGCAGATGTGAAGCTAGACAAAAATGCACCGCAGAAAATCCTAGCTTTGCGAAAGCGCATAGATTGAGAACTATAATCCTGTGTAAAGTTGCTTACCTGAGTCTTCCCCAAGCGAGATTCAAGGTCCACCTCATAATCTCTATGTTTCAACGGTTTCCTCTGAACTGGAGGACCTTTCGCTGCATAAAAACGATGTTGTTACTTAATGCCGTAAGCATGGCTCCAACTCCACAACGTACTGAGTTCAATCAAGAACAACCAGAAAAGCCCTAAATGATGAAGTGCAAAATACTAAGCGAAAGAAATGCAAACGAAAGCATTAACCAAATGACTTACTTTTAGGTCTAGATCGCGCCTCCTCTTCCTGTTCACAAACCACGATTAGCTAACTCGAAACTATTCAAAATCCACCGGCAAAGTATCATCCGGCATCAGCATATAAACAAAACATGGAAGAAAACTCACCTGCCTCTCACGCTCCCGAGCACGTTCCAAATATTCCTCTCGATCGAATTTTCTTCTGAACGTGTTGTCGACCCCGGTGACCTATGAACAGAATGCATGGATTGAAAAATTATACAACTCCGAAATCTAATGAGCGTTCTAAAGCAAAGTTGTGAGAAACAATTGTCCCTCGAAAAGAAAATGAGAGCTTACATTGTTACTGTTGTGAGCCATCAAGGCTCCAAAATCTTGCCGTAAGCTATAAAATAGATGGGACGGGAAATCAATTGATTCAAACAATAAACAAATAGAGAGGACCCCCGCTGCCACAATTCGACAGACAAACCCTAAATGGAACCGAAGGATTTAATTAAGAGAAGAAAGAGCTGATGTATGGATACGGAGTAATCAAGCACTCGCACCGTCGCAGTTCCGCAGCGCTATGCACGCGAAAGCCAATGTTTAAAGAAACAAACAAGTCAATAATCGTCAGTAAACAAATAAATTACGATTGATTAAATAACAAATTATAACCTTATAAAATAAAATTGACTGTTAAATGAGATTTTTGCCATAAACTGGACTAGTTCTTACATATTATATAATATATAATTTCATGATTATGGGATATGAGTTGTATTATTTACATTTATAATTATAATTCATAAGTAATAAATAATATAATTTATTATAAATTTGTATATTTATATATTAATCTATAGGCTACATAGTCATATTTGTGTACGAAATTGGAAAAATAGATCACATTATTTATAATTTATAAATTGTAAATAATATACCCGGGGGGTGGGGGGGAAGAGAGAGAGGGCATATGCATCAGGGTTTCTAGATTTGTCGCTGTTACCGAACAAAAGGCTAAACAGTCCGGGTTGCTCATTTATTACTTCAGTTTTCCCCCATTAGCTCTTTTATTAATTATTAATAATTACAAAAAAGACATAACTTCTATTTTTATATTCAATTCATATTTTGTTTTTAATTCATATATTTTTTTATGCTTTAGATTTGTATATTTTTATTTTTTTATTGTTTTTTATTTCTTTAAAATCCCTACACTATGTGCATAAAAAGAGCGAAAAAAATATAGAGATATAAAATATTTAAAAAAAATACAAAAATCAAAAACTATATTCCCTCTAATAATTATTAATTATTTACCAAATGAAATTATGAATGAATCCTCAGCAAGGGAAAGCACGTGAGGAGCTTCCTCACTCCACCAACTGCCCCTCCGCGCCTCGAATTTCATTTCAACGTACCATCCCATTCCCACTCTTTATCCCATCCGATGACCCCACTACTACGAAATCTGAAAAATGGACTGCATTATTTAATAATTTAACTTTTATTCATGGCATGTCAATTCATTTCACTATTTAGTGGCTCCCATTCTCCCTCCCCTCTATCGCAGTGCAGCTTCTGTAGTCAGACGACGTTTCTTTCACTGGTTTTTTAAGCCCTGAGGAAAAAAAAAATCCATACTCCCTCCGGTCCTATTTATAAGTCATTTCTACCAACCTCATCAATACCAATACAATAAAAGTACAAGGAATAAAAGTAAGTAAAATTCCAAACATGCCCCTATATAACAAATCTAAAAAGTAATGTCCTGTTACTTTTTCTCTCTCATGAAGGGTAATTTTGGAAATACCTCTCAAATATTACCTAAAAAGACGCACCGTGACTTATAAATGGGACCAAATACACCATCTAAAATTGGACTTATAAATGGGACCGGAGGGAGTACAAGATATTTTATCTATGGCAGAAATAAAGGGTTGTGGAGTCAGATTCCCAGCTGAACTGGGCAGAAATCGTTAGCCTGTCAACATTCAAGTCTTCAAACTGGAAGCAGCAATATGCTTTTACAACTACACCTTCCAACGTACCACTGGCCAATGAAAAGGCATGTAGGGGGTTGGTGTACCACTTCCGCACGGGTTAACCAAGCAACAAATCAGAAATTATTTCTTCAATCAAAAAGGTTGATATTTCGCACTCAATCTCTGAAACCTTTTCAAAGGCCTCCATGTCAAAATCAAGCCATTTACCATAATGGGTGCCCATGTCCTTGCTCACAAGCTCGTCTACCATCACTTCCTCCATGCTTTTATAACCCAGAATTTCATTATACAGTTCTTCTGCCAACCTACCCTTCCTGTGATTCAATTCCATCCATCTAGGCCATCCTTTGCAGCTTCCCGCAAAAGCTTGCCAGCATCTCAATTCAAGGCACTCGCTTACACAGTCAAACCAGACCTTTCTCTCCAGCTTGGAGTCCTCTGCTTGATAGTCATTGGCTGCATCGATCTGATTTTCCAACATGTCAAATAGATTTGGCATTATGACCTCATTGATTTGGCCCAGCACAAAGTCTTCTGTCATCAACTCTGCACTACTTAGTATATCTTTTACATATTCAAGTTCTGTGTTTCCTGATACTTTAAAATCTGAGAAATTCAACATGCCACTTAATTGTCTACCAGTCACGTCACCCTCTGCTAATAAGGAAGATCTTTGCTCATACAAATTTACCCCATTTTCAACGGGTGCAGATTCATTTATCGGAGAAAAATTAGACATTTCTTCATCTTGCGTGGATGAATATACTGTGCTGCCTGAAAAAGGAAAGATTTCTAAATAAATGTATTTGGGTACAGTAAAAACAAAAGATTGTCTTTAAATTTCGATAAAAAAGATACTCCTAAATAGTTGAAAGCAGAGATCAAAACATTACCATATGCACTTTCTTCACTATCCAAGTAACTTTCACTGGCACAAGGAGTATCAAAAATTGCAACAGGTCTGGGATGCTGACAGCCTGGATCATTTCCAGTTTCCCAGTTGCTGCTATAGCAGGTCTCTTCTGTTGCTTCTGATGTCTGCACAAGTGAAGAGTGGCAGAGTTGAGGTGGATATATGAGCTCAGCTTAGTTCAAAAGAATGTGCATATGTCCAATTGTAATTCACCTAATAAAAGATGAATAACTTCATGTATATGAAACTTTTGAGTCAGTCAATGATTTATGAGCCATGTTTAAGTAACCTGAATTCTGAAGAGTGATCTCATCCTAAGAAAAAAAATAAAAAATAAACTCCTAAACACCATGCGAGCCCATACTCAACCACTGATTGCCAGGATCAACTCCTGGACACATAAGCAGGTGATCATATCCATAGTGTAATGGAGTACATGGCATAACTTGTAGTGACATTTTTCTATATTTATTGCAGATATTCTAACCAGTCATATTCCGTTACAAGGCAGCTGCAGATATAAGACCTTAAGCACGTTCAAGAACAATTTTTTCCCCCTCAAAGACAATACCTAGAAGGATTCTTACCTTAAGCACGTTCAAGAACAATTTTTTCCCCCTCAAAGACAATACCTAGGAGGATTCTTACTCATTCACAAGTTTCTTGACACTGCACATCTTATACATTCATCTTTTGCATCGTACAAATTACAGCTCTATATATTCAATTGGAGGATGCGAGCCATGCCAACAAGACCTTTAGCATATTAAAATATTATTTTAGCTCCAGAAAGGCATACTGCAGACTTCAAGATTAAGACTTACCCTCACATCCATTCTTCTCAACCTCAACTCTCTGAACATTATTTTCTAGATTAATTGATAGTAGAAAGCTACCAAGGATGCAACATTAATAATTGATAGGTAAAAGAAAAACAATAGTAGATGAATCTGACAATACAAAGGAAATGAACGAGACCTGGAAAAGCTGATTCTTGTTATGCACCAGATCATCACTTGAAGAGAAACCAAAGTCATGCGTGCCATTTAATGTATCACTAGACAGGTCAGGGTGAAAGCTTTCTTGTTCCCCTGATATGATACTTACCACACCAGGCATTTCATCCGGCAAGCTGCTCGGTAAACTAGAAGACTCCTCTGTAGCCTGGGCAATCTGAGGTAATTTAATTCTAGAAGTCAATTCTCGCAGCTTTTTCTCCAACAGGACACTTAAAGCATCACCATCTATTGTATGTAATCCAGAAGGAGCTGATGATAATTTTTCAGGATAACGCAAATCAAAGTGATCAAGAGAAGTAACATCAGTGTTGTCTTTTGTCCCCATCAGTGGAATGGAGGACTGAGACTCAGGCATGTTTCTCCTCAAGGGAGATGTAAATGTGAATGAAATAACATCCTTGCTTTCTTTCATGTTATATGCGTCCTGATTCATACTCCCATCAGTTGTAATATTGTATTTTATCGACTTGCTTTCATAATTGATTACTGCTTTATTAGGATCTCTTGCCTCATCAAACACATCCCTGCTGATATACCTTTTCTTTTGGGCTACATTCTTAGCTTTGGATTGTGAAAACTCTTTTTGAGTATTAGTTCCCCTTCTGCTCAACCTTTTAGGTCCACTATTTACATGTATAGCACCCTCATTAGTTGTCTTCCTTCCGCGAGTGGTACTTTCTGATGACTGAACTTGTGTAGCTGGCTTGTTATTGGAATCAATTCTTGATGCTGATGCACCTTTGTTGGCCGCACCATTCTGCTTTTGATTATTCTGCCCAAGCACAGAGCTATTCCGGCTAGTACCAGTTCTCGGCTGCATGGACTGCTGCACTTTTGGTTTTTGGCTCCTGGATAATCGGTTTGATTTCATCTCATTCTGTTCTTTATGCTTCACACAGCCTCTCTTGCCGTTTGAAGTCAATGTATCTCTTTTCTGAACATTAGCCTTGGATTCATTTGCAGCAGATGATGATTTTCCTTTACTTCCCAAATGGCGAGAACTATTTTTTTCAGAATCTCTCAGAGCCTTGAATGCTGGAGCGCACTTATATGAATTATTGCTCCTGCCACTAGGCTTGCCTTTAACAGGGTTGGCAGTGCTTGAATCCACAGGCTTTTCAGGCATGGATGCACTTTGCACGGTCTCCATTTTCTCTTTCAAACTAAGAATTCTCAAGGGAAGAGATGAAGGCCCAGCTGATGACGTATTGTTCTTCATATATGGCCAAGGGCTTGCTTCAATTATCTTAGCAGCTGCTTCCATTATATGGGCTGCATTCTTTGGGGGGATCAATCCTGGACTCTTGATAGGAGACAAGAGCTTATTGTGAGTGACAGGAATCGGTTTAGCTGACTTTGGAGGCAACATCTCAGTTTGAAATTTCTTGATTGGTCGATTTGCCACTTTCTGAACCCTCAATTCCGTGGCATCCGTTGAAGACTTGTCTGGCTTAAGCGGCATGTTCATGTAGTCCACAGGCTGATAGCCATTCATTAAACCAAGAACATGCTCATGACAAGATCCAAGAGAGTCAGAGCCATATAACGCCGTGGATGAGAGTTCAGTGGCTGTCGAAGCAGGCAAAGACTCCAGACCCATCAGCCTTGCCACTAGTCCAGGGGCTTTAGTACCACATCCTTCATCACTATCAATTGATATTGCACCACTAAAATCACAATTTGCTGTATAACTTGGACCTGCGACATCCCCATCCCCATGCATCTGAAATAGTTGTAATGATTAACAACGAGAATTCATATCATATACAAAAAGTTTGGTCAGAACGAACTAAGTGAAAAAGGAGGAAGAAATTCGAACCCTAGTGAGCTGTGACTTTGCCGTGCTCTCCACATTTTCCTTTCCTTGCTTCGATTCTTCTACGTAGCAAACACATTTAAAATAGGTAAATCACAACCGCAATAGAGAATGATTTAAGCATTAAAAAAGATTCAACAGATAAGCATAATAGGCAAGGTTATAGTTTGATAGGTACGCTCAACAAACCCCCCTACCACGTAAGTTAGGATTGTCACTGAATAGCTTCTTTCGAGATTTTCCATTCCAGTCGAACAAACTGAGGAAGCCTCCCTTGGACCGTCTCTTCTCAGTCTCCATTTTGTTCAACAAAGCGAAGGCATACAGAGTGTGGCCTGCTGAAATCCCTATGCTATCTCAAGGACCCAAATCTGCGAGACTGCAGCAAGTGTGGAGAGAGCATCTCCGAGTGCTGGAGAAAAATGAATCCACATTTAAATCAAGCATCAGTAAGGTCACAGGGTTCAATGGGTGACAAGGAAACCAGCATCTAACTTTAACACAAACAATATAAGCAAGATTCGCTCCCAATCTTACCAGAAATATTTCATTCGGAGAATCCCGTTCTAGAGGAAACACAGGTTTCTCTAAATTCGTGCAACCAGAAACCGCAGACGCAATACATTTCAAAAATCCAGCTTCTTTTCAATATAGATGCCGTTGAAATTGGATAAAAATTCTGACTTGCCGCGGCATTTTCGTCAATCTCACCGGACATCCATTATCCAATGCCACCACTTCATCCATCGATCTCAGCCAAAACTTTCCCCGACTCCCCTCTTTTTTCGTCAATTCGCTTCTCTTCCTTAACGGAGATATTCAAGCCGAGAAATGAACAAGAGATCTAAGGAAGACCGAGGAAGCCAAGAACAGGACAAAGAAAAGAAAAACAAGAGAAGGGAGAAAGCAACACCACTTGGTTCGCAGAGGGTAACTTGGGAAGAGTCTATGAGGAGATCGAGGTTATGGAGGGGCAAAACGTAAGAGAAAAATAAAAAAAAGCAAGTCAAAGAGATGAGGCGAGTAACAGGAGTGAGAGGAAGTATAGATAGAGGAATAAGAAAAATGTTTGGCTTGGTTCTGCCCAAGCAGCCGAGAGCGAAGTGATAGCAAATCAGAGAGCGAGACAGAGAGGAAGAGACAGAGCTGTGAGCTGTCCTATCTTCTCTCTCTACGTATTTAAGGAATCGGACTCCTCTCCTGTGACCGAGAAAGTGTTAACAGCTCATCGAGCAACTGTTTGACACGTGGATTCTTAATGCAACTGATTTGGGGCTGATCAGAGATTATATGCTGCCTCTCAGGAATTCATTGGAGAAGCGGTGCTTGACGACGAACGCACAAAACAAAAACTAGAATTTCAAAACAAGAACCAAAAGTTTACTTGTGATCATCACTCATCAGGGAACCCGACTCTCAATAGTTCATAATAATCTTATAATTTTTTAAAGGCCAAAGCATGGATCTTTCAGATGACTCGTCCATATCATGCCTTTGCGGGTTCAATTTTTAAAATCCGGCCTTCTGCGCGTTTGGTTTAAATTTAAAACATTTTTTTGTGTTTCAAGTTTTAAAAAAATAAATTAAACTCGCATTTAAAATTAGGTCATGGGTTAACATTAAATTCATAAATTGTGGGCTGGTTCAAGTGAGAGCCCAGCTTTTTTGGGATTTTGCTCATCATTCAATGAGTAATCCTAACCTTCATTTTAATTTAAAGTGGTCTCTACCGTTGACTTTAAATTAATTTTTTAAAATTTAAAAATATAATCAATTTACATTAATATACAAGAAATTTAAAAATTAATTTAAAACTAATAACATAAATAATTGAGTTGGAATGAAATGTTAGATCACTCATTTAAGCAACGAGCAACAAATGCAAATTCGCTTTTTTTAGATACACATATGGTGTTTATTATTATTGAATATGATCCTGGCCTCCTATTTTATCCTAAAAGACATTTTTCATTGATTTTAAATTAATCTTAAAATATTGTAAATATTATATTTATAAGAATAAAAACTATAAAAAATTTAACAGTAAACTTGAACTACCTTCTATGCACATTAGAGGATAAACCAAGGTACGTAAAACCGGACCGGTCATTAAACCGGTCATGGCACTGGGTCACGGGTTAGTGGTTCAATCAGGGTTGAACCGGGGGTTGAATCGGTGGCAAACCGGTCATGATTAAAATAATACAATTTAAATAAAAAGACATTAATTATAAAAACATTCAACCAAATCCAACCACTCAAAAGTCTAACAATAATAAAATACTATATTTTTGGACTTAGCATGCTCTATCTCTAATTTTTTATTTTTTGACTTCAATTTTACTTTTTTTTTGTTATTTTTTTCCGAACTCAGAGCTCTGAAAAATTAAAAATGAAAAAAAAAAATCAAAAACGACGTCGTTTTGGGGTAAAAGTCTGAAAAAATATTAACCTGGTTAACCCAGTCAACCCACCTGGTTATCGGGGTTATACCGGGTTGAACCCGGGTTGACCGGGTTACACCGGTTCACTCCCTCACCGGGTTAAGTGCAAACCCATACCGGACAGGGGACCAGTTCACCGGTTTCCGGGTTGACCCGGCCGGTCCGGTCCGGTTTTCAATATCATGGGATAAACACTATGATATCCATCACTCTTGACAGAACATGGATAATTCATATTTAAGTTATCACTCCTAATGGGATTTGAATAATCTAGATTCAAGTTATAACCCATGACAAAATCTGGATAGTCCATATTTAAGTTTTTATTTTTATTTTTATTTTATATTTATCAAAATAAAAATATATAAAAAATATAAAAATTTTAATAAATTTTTTTATTGCTAGTCTTGCCAATATATATTTAATTTAAATGCTAGTGGCAATTTAATATTACTTTGTTTTATAAATTTTAGAATTTGATTATCCCATATACTCTGGACAGTATAGATATAATCTGAATAATTTAATTTAATATTATATTTTTTATCATTTTTATAAATGGATTGTCTAGATATATCTTTGAGGTCCAAATTTAATATTAAATTTTTTATAATTCTTTTAAAAAATATTTTCATAAATATAATTTTTAAAATATTTAAAAAATTAATTTAAAATCAATGGTAGAGATCTTTTTGAGGTGAAATGAAGAGTCAGGATTAACTCTAGTGGTGATAAGCACCGCGTGCTCATCAATTTGATAAACACCAAATGATTAGTCCTTTTATTGAAAGTCATGCTTGCTCATTACATTTGTTTTTGAATATCTTGCTCGGTTCAAACCCAATAACATGATGAATTAAAATTTAAATTTTTATTAAAAAAAATGTTTATATTTAGTGTTTGACGGTCCAAACATGATTGCCTCCATTAAGATACCTGTGAGAAAAAAAGAATACTCAGTATCAACAAAATACTTTCCGCACTTTGATAATCTCTAACCAGGTAAGTCATGATTTTAAGTTTCATCCTTTCTCTCTTACATTGTTTTTGTCAAGCAATGCCAATATTAGTTTTGTATTCGTCTCCGACATAAAAAGAAATAAAACAGGGAGATCAGAATTGGTCTTGGATACGTAACCTTCATACATAGAGCCTAGAGGTGACAGGTAACGGCAAATTTGGGCTCTTTTGAATGCTGGTGAGGTGTCCCATTTCTTCGTATGAATTTGTGAGCGCAATCCTCTTTTTGTTGGGAGAGTACTAAGAAGATGAGACGTTGGGCTAAAACGTCATGATCTGCATTTGTTTTTTTTGTTCAAGGCACGGGACAAGAAAGAATGAATATCACAAGGCGATTTAGGGCCTAGGGGATTGCATTGCACGTGATGCGCATTGATTCATGTCGATTGTATTCTTTTTATAATCACTCGTTTATTATTCGCAAATCTTAAATTAGATTCAAGTGATTGCTGACTGGACCACTCACTGGCGTGCTATTGTTATATTTAGATTTATTTTAAACGAAGTCAAGCTTGTATCTTCAACTGTACCCCTTTGTCAAATCATGATCAGATTATATAAATTAAGGGGGCGAGCTGGCATATGTTATCATCATGTTGTTATTATTATAATTCGATCTAAATGCTATTCTTACCGTGTGGATGACACGCACGTTTTTATTGTAATGATAACTTATTTTTAACTAGGCCGTTGTTGTAAATAAGTTATTGATCAATGAATAGTCAAAAAATTTAAACTTCAAAGCTGAAAATCATATTTTTATTTCAGGAATATGAGAAACTTTCAAATCATAAAAAAAAAAACTCATGTATGTAGATATTAACCAGTCCTATAAATATCCATCTTGATTGATTTAGTCGAATTTTTGTTGAGGCTTTGTCAAATTTAAGAATTATCCAGTGATATCTTACCCACAAATAATAATAATTATCCAGTGATATGGTATGAGTTTTCCTCCTTTTCCCCTCAATGGGAGGATTTGAACCCCCAGAATCCCAACTGACGAGTGGGTTTTAGGCTAATTTATTTCAGCCGGTTCTATTTTTGGAATTTCAGAAATTGGAGAATTACTTGTTTCCAATAATCTATGCTTTGCTGAAACCCCGCCACCAAGTTATGGACTTTCTATTTTGGGAGAGATTTGTTTGGATTAATTTAAACGTAAGTTCAACATTTTTATTTTTTAATCCAAAATTTTTTTGGTCCAAATCTAATCCAAATTTTAATAAATATTTTGTTACATTTTAAATTTAATATAAATTTCTGAAATAAATCTTAATTTGAAGGACATATTTTAGTTTTTTTTTTTCTAACAGCAACTAAATAATTAATACTTAAAATGTAATGGCATACACGTACCTTGATTATATACTCTGCCTCCCCAACAACACACACACACACACACACACGCATACTGCTATTTTTTTTCTCCCCCATTACATATGTATGCTGCTTTTTATAACTATTTTGCTCATTGCCGTCTGCCCTGCACTACCGGTAATATTTAAAAAAGTCACTATTCTTAAATGGGTTTGGATCACGCAAAATTAATCTCTCTATAAAAATCTTGCTAACATAATATATGGAAACCAGAGTTTAATACAAATCAAATGATTACAAATAATTATATTTTTTTATGTTAACATTTTTGAAATATACGGTTGCATTGCAAGAATCTAATCAACTGATTAAAAATAAAAAAGCATCACTTTATGTTTATGATGAGTGGACTGCAGTAAATAAAAGTTTCCTATTTTCTCGTGTCCTAACTTTTATTCGTAATTTGTAGCCAAATTTCCTCGCCATAGACCCAATCACCGGGGCAGGGTAAGTTTTCGTGTCTTTACTATTTTCAGAATTTCAGAGACTTGTGTTCCCACTGTCATGGATAATCTCAAAATATGAAGTCAAAGAACCCTGCTTTGCTTGCTAAAGTATTCGCGCTCTTGACATCCTTTTGCAGATTCAGAAGATGGCAAACTTTGGTCCGAAGGAGACTTCTCCCAACATCAGTGCGGGACTACCAACTGAGAACGACACACTCACGAGGAGATATGACCTCGTCGAACAAATGCAATTCTTGTATGTCAGAGTTGTCAGGGCTAGAGACTTGCCTCCTTGCGACCCTTACGTCCAACTCAGACTTGGAAACTACAGAGGGACCACTCTCTCCTCTCAGAGGACGCCATTCCCTGCATGGAACCGAGTCTTCGCCTTCGAGAAAGATCGAATTCAGGACTTGAACCTCGAGATCGTAGTAAGAGACAGAATGTTCATGCCCCATGCATTCGTAGGTCGGGTTCAGTTTCCTGTACCCGATGTTCCGAAACGGGTTCCGCCGGAGAGTCCATTGGCACCGCAATGGTATAAGCTCGAGGATCAGGGTGGGACGCCAATTGTAGCAGATATCATGCTGGCTGTGTGGATGGGAACTCAGGCAGATGAGTTTTTCCCTCAAGCTTCGTTTTCAGATGCTACTTCGATCAGTGTCGACGCTGTTGCTCATACTCGCTCCAAGGTATATATTTTACCGACATTATGGTACCTTAGAGTCAATGTGATTCAAGCTCAGGATTTACTCCTCAGATTCCATCCGGAGAGCTCAGATTTATTCGTCCAAGTTGATTTGGGGCGCCTACGTCTAAGAACAAGCTTTTCTAAGAAAAAGAACCCAAACCCGTTCTGGAACGAGGATCTGATGTTTGTTGCGCAAGAGCCGTTCAACGAGTCTTTGGTGATCAGCGTAGAGCAAGGGACTTTGGCTGATCATGTGAGTTTGGGCAAGTGTGTGATTCCTCTGAAAAACGCGGACAAGAGATTAGATGGCGGAGGGGTGGCCAGTAAATGGTACAACCTTGATGCGCCAGGGCCTAGCATTATTGATCCTTCCCAGGAGGCGGTGTTTGCCAGTAAGTTCAACGCGAGGATCTCCCTGGATGGTGCATATCACATGCTAGACGAGCCCACCGAGAATTGCAGCGATTTCAGGGCATCGGCAAAGAAGCTTTGGAGACCGAGTATTGGGATTTTGGAGCTGGGGATGTTGAAGGCATCTGGGTTGGAGCCAATGAGCATGGGGGCTCGAATCCATGCATATTGTGTGGCTAAGTATGGTCCCAAGTGGTGTCGCTCAAGGACAATTGTGGATAGTCTTTCTCCGGTGTGGAATGAACAGTATGTGTGGGAAGTTTATGATCCATTCACGGTCATTACTATTGCAGTGTTCAACAATAATCAACTGGATGCAGAGGATAGTTCTAGAGGGGCAATGGATACTTTGATGGGTAAGATACGGATTCGGCTATCCACGCTTGAGCGTAGCAAAATATACACGCACTCTTATCCTCTCATATGCTTGCAACCATCCGGAGTGAAGAAGATGGGAGAAATCCATCTGGCCCTCAGGTTTTCTTGGCCGTTTTGGTCTTCCCTCAATATGCATCAATTCTACATGCTGCCTCTGTTGCCCAGACAGCATTACATTTCCCCATTGTCTCCGGCTCAGATAGATAATTTAAGAAACCAAGCGGCTCATGTTTCGTCCGTGAGATTGAGCAGTGCAGAACCGCCATTGTGCAGAGAGGTGGTGTATAATATGCTGGACGCGAGATCAGACACGTGGAGCATGAGAAAAGGTCAAGCTACTTTAAAGAGGATCAAGAATGTTGTAGGTGGCTTTGTTTCCTGGTGGAAGTGGTTGGAGGACGTCAGATACTGGAAGAATCCTGTTACGACCTCCCTTTTTTACTTGCTTTGCATTCTCGTGCTTCTCTTTCCGGAACCAATTGTGCCCCTGGGGACTTTCTACCTTCTTTTCCTTGGGTTGAAACGTTACTTCAAGAGGCCCAAGCATCCTCCTTCCGTAGATGCAGAATTGTCTTGTCTTGACACGACAACCCCTGAGGATTTAGAAGAAGAATTTGACTTGTTCCCGAGTCAATTTGGAGGGGAACGTTTGAGAAGGAGATATGATCGACTGAGAGCCATTGGAGGGACTGCGCAAAGAATGGCAAATGAGGTGGCAACCATGGGAGAAAGACTTCAGTCTCTGAGAAGCTGGAGGGACCCCAGAGCCACATCTTTGTTTTTGATATTTTGTTGTGTCTTCTACATTGTAACACTTGTTCTTCCTGCTCGATTTATCATCTTCCTTTGGATCACATTCTGTCTCAGGCATCCCAGATTCCGAAGTGTTCTGCCTTCGATTCCCCAGAACTTCCTCATGAGAATGCCCTCCAAACGAGCTCTAATTCTGTGACGAGAATCTTTTACATTTTTCTGTTAGTGGAGACATTTCTTTAGCATAAACAATTTGAGGGGCCATAATATTCTAGTTCTAGTTTATTGAAATATATGGATCTTATAAGATTCAATAATGTTACTCCTTGAACTGACCAGACACTTGGATAAATTAAATGCCATCCAATGCCCAGTGCCTTGTAACCACTTAAAAATGTGCCAATCATGCATTCTTTCGTCGCAAGAATATGGAACCTTTAGCAAGAAGATTATACTGGATCCTCTTGTTTTGTATTTTTGTGTCAAAATATCAGTTCAAATTTTTCAGAATGAAATAAAAATTACGTCCAAAACTTTCTTCCTTTATAATAATAATTAAAAAAAAAACTACTTTCAATCAAAACTTATGTCTCCATTCCCCGGGCCCCCTCCGGAGGGGGTTCCCACCCGCAGACCTGTTTGAGCTTCTTGAAAGTATATTTACAGAATATAGCGGAAGAATTTTATTTCTCAAAAGGGTGAACTATAAAGCTGAAAGAAATAATAAATTACAGAAAAGGTGTTGCACCATTGGGATGGTTTGGAAAATCAGGCTTGTAGTTTAAAATACAGCAACTCACAGTCCATTCTTGAGACAGTTATCACACGGGTTAGATCCATATTTGCAAGCTTTTCTGTCAATAGATTCTCCAAAGTGTTTGAGTAAAGCTTGCCTCCGGCATTCATCCTGTGTGTGTGTGTGTGTGTGTGTGTGTGTGTCATCAATTTCAATGTCAACTCTTGGAAATAAACTGTCTGCACTAGATAAGACAGAGAATAAATCAGATACGGAAAGGTAGAGGATTACCTTCAGTTCACAATATTGTTGCATCTTTTTGGCTTGAGCAATTGCTGTCTTCAGACTTTCCCTATTATAACCTTGGCCATTTCTTATCAAGCAAACGACTCTACTAAAATCCTTCTTCTGGTATAGAGCAACGCAAACTGCAGGTAGACTGTCTCTTCCAGCCCTTCCTGATTCTTGATAATAGCTTTCAATTGATTTAGACAACGTATTGTGGATGACAAAGCGCTGAAAGATATGACAAAAGGATAATTATGTACTAAAAGACCCCGTAAAACTCAGACTGACTTGGGGAAAAAAAAATGTTTAACTTCAACTGCAATTAGAATTAGTTTAGTTTATTAGGAAGATGCAGTCTAAAGTGCTTCGATATATTTTAGGCTGATGCATTCATCATGCGCTTCAGCCGGATGGCTGAGATCATTAGGAGTTTTAAATGATTGTGCAAATTATCATAAATTTCTTTTAAAAATTTGGTGGTGACTGTCATGAATGCAATAGCCAGCTTTAAAAGAAAAGAGTCCGGCTTAAAGTTGAAGAAAAAGAGTTGGAGATAAAGGTTCTAGAAAAATATAGACCATTCAGTTTCTACATTATAAATAGAAATATTGTGTTACCAAAATTCCTTTGAAGACAGAATTTCACAAAATTGAGAAAATAGCAACATAATCATAATAATTCAAATAAAATTAAGATTACAATTTACATATTAAGAAGTTAAATAGACTTACGACATCAGGCTTGTCTATCCCCATCCCAAAAGCAATAGTTGCACATACAATATGGACCTTTCCCTCATGCCATTTCTTTTGAACAGCAACTCTTTGGCGAGCAGCCAAGCCAGCATGGTAATATACTGTCTTAATGTTACATTTCTGGCTCAAAAATTTTGAGACCTCAACACATTCACTTTTTGAAAGGCAGTAAACAATTCCACATTGATCCTTGAAACGATCCATCACAAGCTTTCCAAGCTGCTTTAGAGGCTCCTTTGTCTTAACAATGACTTCATACTTCAAGTTTGGCCTATCAAAGCTTCTTTCAAGAACAATTGCATGGGGGATTCTTAAAGCAGCTAAGATATCCTAAAACAAATTTAAATTGTGGAGACATAAAATAACTTGGAAGCAAAAGAAACGAAAAGTTCATCATAGCTATATGGCATTCCACTACCTCGCGGACGGAGTGGGTTGCAGTGGCAGTCAGTGCCATGACAGGCACATTTGGAAAGTTCAGCTTAAGGCATCCTAATCCCCAATAATCAGGCCGGAAATCATGTCCCCATTGGCTGGGAAGCACAATATGAATTTGAAAGTCATAAATACAGAATATCTCATACAAGTAGTTGCACAATACAATAAGAATTGTACAGCTTGAATAATACTGAAGTCAGTTTTCCACAAAGCACAGGATATACCTAACACAATGAGCCTCATCAACAACAAAACCAGCTAGCTGTCCCTGAGGGAGCACCAACCACATTTATATATTAAATTTCCGTACTCAAAGGGTCAAACAAAATAGTTTCCAAATAAGCATTCAAAATTCAGAGAAAGGCACCTTGTTATGCATGCATTTTAGAACTGCAAGAAATGATTGATTGCCAGCAATTCTCTCAGGCGTCACATACAAGAGTTTGCATGATGGTTTGTCTTTTCTAGATACAAGAAACTAGATGTAAGAAAATGCTAAACAAGAGATTAATCAGCAATCTGAAAGGTGATTTCTCTTCTAGAGGATTATAGGGTACATTATAGAATAGATCATGGTAAGCATAAACATGAAACTATATCGTGCCTTAGCTCTTGGAGGACGGCTGCTGCTTGTGAAGGAGTTTGCTGAGAATTCAAAAATGTAGCTGGAATTCCAAACTTGAGGTTCAACGTGATTATCTGGTCCTGAATGAGTGAAAGTAAAGGAGATACAACTACAGTAACACCTGACTGAAGAGTTGCTGGAAGCTGCAAGTACAAAATAAAGCATGTTACATAGAATGTAAGGTGACAGAAAAATTATTCCTTCATCAAAGTCTGGGTACATGGAGAAACTTCAAACTAAACCATCACATTCTGAATACAAGAGGGAAACATCAGATTTCGAAGAAATACAAAATGATTTGTAGCGCAAAGAAGGTAATGTACAACAACACACAACATTTCAAATGGTTCTGTCTCATCAAGATATTTCTGCAGATCAAAATGGTATATTATTCTATGGGAAGATATGAATATATGTATTTGTTGTAAGTGAGTCGTTGCCTGTAAAGTGAAAAAAAATCTGCTCCACCTACTTGGGAATTCAGTAATGGCCACTTCTGAATCTTTTCCAATAGCAGGAGTAACACAAACAATACTTGAAATTGCGGCAAAAATTTAGAAAATGAAAATATTAGACATTTATTTTCCTCTTGGAAAATTTAATCAGATGCCTTATCCATCTAAATTGAATAGAAATATTAACAAAATTAATGATTTCAACTTGTTGCAAAGCAGAAGCAGGGCTAGCAAAATGTTTGTAAGAATATGTGCTCACCTAGAAACTCACATAAACTTAAAGGAAGAAAATGTATGAAAAAAATGTATTTTTTTGCCCCTTTTTGTCTTAGAAAAAGGAGTTTTGCATAACTAATTGCTACAGCCAGATCTTAACAATTAAAGAGGATAGATACATACAACAAAGAATATGAAGAAGATTTATATCAAATGGTTAGGAGAAAGAAAGGACCTGATAGCAAAGAGATTTGCCACCCCCCGTTGGCATAAGAATAAAACAATCTTGCTTTGCCAAAGCTACTTTACAAGCTTGATGCTGCAATGGTCGAAATGTCCTATTACCAAATATAACAACATTTGCCATCTCAATGTTATCTAGATCCTGTAATTCTTCATAAGTGAGAGTACAGTTTTCATCCTTTCGTTCTGACAACCTTCTTTTGCTGGCGGTTGAGGAAATTGAGCTCTGAGTGATGCTACTTCGGCAATCCTTCAACATAATATAACCATTGTAGTAAATGATAACAAGTTATTCGGCTGTTAATCCAACAAGGAATGGCAGGTAAAAATCCTATCTAGACGTTTTGGAAAAAAATTCACGGCTCCCAAACTATCAGAAGAATTTTGAACTGTGTCACTGCCATACTGATTGAGTTACATTTTCAGTCCAATTTGTTTATAGTATTGATTTTGTTATATTAAATCTCCTTCAATCATCATGCATGGTTTTATAAAAGTCTAACATGTAAGTATTAGAATATGCGCATGAGCGCTCACCAATCCACAATAGTTTTCCAACTACACATGCATATGTATCATTTACACATGTATAGATATTATCATCTTCATAAAAAATTGATTCATTCAGTATTATCATCTTCATCTTACACGCAGCATTCACACTTTCCCAACAAGCTATTTTGCATTGTCTATCCATTGTATTATATGTCAATTATTATGATTTGATGGCTTATAATTTCTCTTTTTTTAAAGCCGCCCACCAATCCACATAATCTTAATATCAATCATCACTGTGAAAACGGGAAGTTCTTGTTTGAATATAACAAGGCCAGGCCAACATTGATTGACGCAAACTTTGTCTGACATACAAGGATTTTGGTAGAATACATAAAGTAGAAATATGAAACTAGCAATAAGAGGCGATTCAGAGGATTTAGGACCATATATAGCATCAAATACTTCACCATCAAAATGCTTTTTACCCCTGATATTGGAGGCTGTTGACCTGCGAATACATTATCATTCAAATAGGACCCTGGAGGTGCACATTTTTCCCTTGAAATACTAAAGTCCGTATCCTCATCGCTTGAAACCAACTCCACCACTTTCTGGTTTTTCTGAGGTTCAGGAGAATCCTCAATAATATTGATGCAACCTCCTGCAATGCCGTTATCTTCATACGGACACCCGACAACAGTTTTATCAAGCAGGTTAGTCAAGGTTCCACAAGCTTCTGATTCTATTGCCTGTAAATCGTCCCATTCCTCAGTATCTTGCATTGAATCAGCTAAAGCTGCTAGAAAATCATCACCGCAGTACTCCACGGTGATAAAATCCCGCCCATCATCACCTGAAAAAATGACGGCCAAAATGCATATAAACCTGACAGTGTTGTTGGACAGAAAAGTACTATAGCTGGTTATGATCATTGCAAGGGGGAGG